CTGAAGACTCCGCATGAGCTGTGGGTCCTTCTTCGCCTGCTCCAGCACAAGCTGCTTCGCCTCCTCTAAACTTCTCGGCTTATCGTCTTCGCCGCCCATCTTCTCGTGCTGAGTTCAGTGAACCCCTACGAGAAATTCACCATGTGGAAACGAGTACGATAAGGCAGAAGCAGAGCCCTTCCATGGATGTGTGCGACTACGAAGATACGAAGATACTCGGATAAAGAAAAACCAGCTTGAGAGAAACTACAATCACAAGAACAAGAAAAAAGCCCGACCGCAATCATGTAAACAGCCACAAGATAGAAGAAAGGCGAGATAGCTTCTTCGGTCGAGATGCCTGAAGGTTACAACCCCCGGCCAGTGTTCAACCTGTTGGGACTGTCCTGTTGAAATAATTGCTAAGCCGATAATCGATAATAAATAGAAAAAAACACCATAAATTTTAATTAAGGATGGAAATCCATGCAGACTCAAACAATTGACCAAATTTTTTCGAGTACTTTGGGGAGGGTGTGCAAATTCGTCCAAATTTGTCAACCCTCCACGGGTATCCGAGAAAAAAAACGCATGGACTATTCAAATCGCGACAAGGATCCAACTGGAGCCGATTGCCCTGGGGCATTTGGATTCAAATTCTTGCATTTTAGGATCTTCAAGGAGCTGCCGCGTCTAAGATTCCTCGCGACGTATCCGCATGGGGATCCACGTCCAATTTATTCTTTGGCGTCTCGCCTCGTTCTCAGCTAGTGGGGGCCCATTCTATCGGCGCGCCCATTCTAACAGATGAAAGGAGCCCTGCTCGCGTGCGGCTCTAAGCTCGCGAAACAAATTCTGCACACGTTGCGCATGAAATTGAACAGCGCCCGACGGTTTACATCCCGACAGCCGAGAGCAAGGGAAGACTTCTCGCCCAAGCTAATACAATTACGGCCAGCGAGCAACGATCAGAAACAGACGCCAAGACCTTCTAAGAAAGCAGGCATTCTTATGCAAGCAAGGGTGGACCACCACGGAACGAGGGATCATTTTTCTTGGGGAGCGTTACAACCTGACCTCGATGGGGGTTCTCTTTTTTGATCGCGTGCCGTCTTCATGATGATGCAGCACAAGGCAAACGCGAAGACCGTTCCAGGTCATGACTTGTGGAGCTTTTTCTGCGCATGGGGTTCTTTCATGCTCCAGCTTCTCTCTGTAGAGCCTCTACCAGATCCACCTGGAAGGCGTGGACCTGCAGCGACTTCATGTCGGCGCGGAAGTGGTGCACATATTTGGAATATTGTTGGTCCCACAGAACTGCCAACGTGCGGCCAGGGTTCACCGTAGACCGGGTCGAGCGACCGACTACTTGCCGCACCGTCTGCAGCATTTGTTCTTCTGCACTCGCAGAACTTTGCCGCCCGCTCGCTCTCGTTGGGATTGGCCACGGCGTCCCGACGACAAAGACCAACGAAGGCCGGCGAGCTAAGTTCGCTCCTTCACATAATCGCCCGTGGCAGCAAACTACATAGATGTGCGCGTGAGGACCTCCTTCGAAACGGACCTCGTGGCCCCCCGTTGTGGCCTGCTCCCCGTTGCACTCATGCCGCTGAACCTCAAAGCAAAAACGCTCCACATCGCCGGGCCGAATCGAATCACATTAGAAGAAGGCATCAGAAAAGTACAAAGATGGGAGGCCTCCTGCCTACACGCCTGCGATTTGAATCAGTTACCCGGCGACAGTATGTATAGAAGCGGCCGCGCACTAATGCCGAGAAATCAGCTTGAATCAGTTACCCAGCTACAGTAATTTGCGAGCCTTAATTGCTACCACGCACACAATCCGCGAAGCGTTTGATCTTCACGAAAGAAGAGAACGCGATCATTACCGCCTCAGGCTCGAAGATACTAAGGTCACTGCCGCGCTGTTTGGTAAGAGCGTCACTGCAGTCTACGACCGTGCGCGCAAGTGCTGCGCTTAGAAGAACCCCTCGCGAAGTCCATCGATCTCGATGCGCTCGGGTGCTTTTCCTTTGCTTGAAAAGCAGCACGCCGAAGGGCGCTAACGATGCAAGATGGGGCCCCTGTTGCCTTAACGTCCAATATCGCGTCGAAGCGTTTTCATCCGGGCGAGCGATGCTGGAGAATTCTGCTCGTTCGTCGCAGATTGTTCCTTCTCCAGGGGAATACTGCACGTTGGTGACTACGTGGAACTCCACCCGAGGCTCTACCGGAACGGCAGCTACGTGGATGGGCCGCTCCGGACTGTTGGGAAAAGCTTAGCGACTCAGACATCGGACGAGGGAACAGAAGCTAGCCTTTCTGATGGCATCTAGTGGAGTTGTCTTTGAAGTGTCTGTTGCGTATTACTACACCTTCACGAAACAGCTAGCGCGACCGGTATGTATCTGGATTGTATTTGACTCATATCACACGAAGTAACTACTACAGCGACTCGCCTACTCGCTGTTCTTTCCTGACTGACCGGCTAATTAGCTTTGTTTTGATCAAGAAACGAGGTTCAGCCTTAAAAAAATCTGCGTCGCACGTTCTCCACTTCGCTGATCGCCGGCATCGTTCCAGAAACGAAGACCATCGGGTGTTTTAATCGCGTGAGAAGCTTCGCCATGTTGCGGTGGTCATGCTCCAACAGGCGATCCGGGTGATTTTTTTAGAGGCGAACGATATAGAATCTTGCACGACGACAGAGACAGCGCGCGCTTTTCTTTGATTGAGTGCATGCCTATGCCTAGAACAGCCTTTCGAAAAGAAAGGGCATGGAGCTAGCTACTTAGGCCGAGAGTCAAGAATATACGAAGTTGATCGTGGAGGTGGCCATAATAGTTGTCCAAGCTCTGCTCTAACGCGTGTGCTTCGTCGACAAATATGACGTCGCTGCTCCTCGAGAGAAGCTCCAGACTCTGATGCGGCGCCACCAGCAGGGCGCGCCCTTGCTTCGCGGTGTTCATTGAAAGGAAGTACGGGCACGGCTTCTCGTTTTTGTGCTCCCATCCTCTCGCCCGCCTCTTAAAATCTTCGATGTCCATCGTGACAGAAGTAGAAGTCATCGAGGCGCTGGAGCTGCTACTAGAAGAGCTGCTACTACTACCAGAAGAACTGCTAGAAGAAGAGGAACTACTTCCACTACCAGGAAAAGCGCGCCTGCTCTCAACCTTCAGCACCGCGCCGCGACTATATCCGCAACTAGTAGCATTACAGATATCGGCTTGCTGCTGAAATGGTGCGAGGCGAACTGCGTCAACCTGGGTTCCATATAAAATTGGGGGAGAGTGAGAACGAAGGATAACTGCGGCGGCTCCTTGAATCAATGATGAACGAAGAGTCTAAATCTCAAGAACTAAGCGGAACTCTGAATGATGGGCGAAGGGCCTCTGTCTGTCTCAAGAAGCTCCATTATCCGCTAACACATGGGGAGACCGTCTCTATGCGTCACAAATAGAAATACCTGACACAACTGCGCACGGCCACCCACCTGTATGGCGGGGATTCCCTGAGCCTCTGCGGCATCCAGCACTTGCTTCGTCTGTTTGTGTGTCCGGGATACCACGAGAGACCGAGACCCAGAAAGATCCCGGAGCGCATTCACGACGCCGAGAATGATATTAGTCTTTCCGGATCCTACTGGCGCAAATGTTAGAGATACTAAGCTAACGAACTGAGGCGATCTTATGCGCTAACGTGAGGTGATGTGACCTTATGAAGAACTGAGACGACCGGAGGAACTAAGACGATCGAAGACGAACTCACACACTGAGATGAACTTCAGCACTGCCTAGCATAACTCCAAGAAGACAGCCGGCGCCCCCCCCTTCGAGTCCGCCGCCAGAGACCGCAAGACCCAGTCGTAGCACGCCTTCTGCAAATCGGTGGGGGGGAGCGCGAAGAGCTTGCTTGGTGAAAAAACCTCCCCCGCGGCGACATCTCCGCCAAGAGACTCTTTCACGGAGTCACTTCCTGCTGCATCTCCTGGGGCGGTGCCCGCGCCTCCTGAAAGGCCAAAAATTCCGAACATCTTGCACTAGTCTGTTTAACTTAATGACCAACTTCACGAACATATACTCAAAAGGGCCCGACTTAAGCCAGCAGCCCAGCTTTTTACTTACGTCACTGGCACAGCTTCAAACTGAAGGACTAGCACTAGCACAGCTTCAAGAACTAACCCAAGCGAAAGCAACGTGAATCGAAGTGGAGGAAATACGGAGCGACAAAGCTAAGTCTCCACGCAAAAATAAAAGTTCTACCACTGAGACCTGTTCGAGAGAGA